GATACATAAAGACTGCTGGAAAAAAGACCTAATAGAAGGAATGGACGAATCTCGTTCTCTCCATCCAAATTCCTATCTTTCTTTTTTCTCCTCTTGATCTACAACGATTTATCACACACAATCAATAATTTCCTGATTAAATTAAACTAAATTCTATATCTATTCGTTATATAAATTAAAAATGAGAGATACAAGTTGATTACTCTTATTGTGAATTAATGAGTGTATTGTGTGTAAAATATTTTACAGTTTATATGATTACAAAATAATATAATACGATGACTAGTATTTCTAATTCGTCATCGTATAACGTCAAATAGGCAATTAAGTTTCAATAAAGTTCTATTTATGTGCTGGCCTACTCCTCGATCTTGCGTTGCGTCTAACGTAATTTAAGTAAGGCTGCTACGTTTCTTTACCACTATTAATTAAGATTGCATTCGTCGAACACATGCAATTTAATTAACTTCTGCGAATTAGAAACTCGTACTGACTTCTTTTTATATATTCCGTATTAATAGCATTAAATTTAGATTAAGATAGATAAATTAATTAATATTTTTTGTCATTTTTTTAAGGCGCGCAAAGAAAAGAATTCGCGAAAGATCGCGACGCGCGATATCTCGTAGAAGAAATCGCCGTGATTCGTGATGCAACTCTTGGTTTCTTAATCTAGATAGAAATCGGAAGAGCAAGAAGAGAGCGATCGGATTGTCGTGGGACGTTGATTAGGAAAGTTTTGCGTTTTGCGGTGCGCCCGCCGCGGGACGGTATCGTAACGATCGTCTTGCGGCGAATGCAGCACGCAATTTTACGTAAGCAAAATCGCGACACTTGTCGAATAAAAAGAGGTGCATTGTTCCATGAGCTAATCGGCACCGTGCCTTGCGTGGCGCACACGTAGATACCAATTTACTGAAAAAAAAAAAAAATATATATATATATACATATATATAAAATTATTATTATTTTTTATGTGTTTTACATATTTCTCAGGAAATGCATAATGTTTACGACATACTCTAATGGCAATTTAATTCTGGGAACGAAGAAATATCATGTAAATCCTATTGAAACGTATAGTCACATCGCGTTACGGTTGTGAATGTTGCCACATAGGTCATCGGTGTACGAAAGACGTGAGAAGAAATGAGCAAGGGAGCGGAATAATAGCTTCGTTCCTCGAGAACGAAGCCGAGCACATCGTGATTCCGAATACCTCGTAGAAAGGTCAGGAATCGTAACTTTGTAACTGATGCAGAATATGCAAGAAGAATGGAATTGATCGCAAAACGAAGCTCGAGAATCAAAAGAAAATGGATGCATTGCAATTTCAGTATACTTTCACATAGGGGTGAGTGGGATAGTGGCGTTTACTTAAGAAATTTTATTAGCATTTTTATCTTAAATTAATTTTTCATCGAAATCTTTTCACTCTCTAAATTCTTTGGGGCAAAATTTTACTCTAAGAAATAAAAATTAAACCAATCTTGAAAAAGAGTGACTCAATTTTCAATCCTTAAGAGTGAGTGATTTCATTCCTCAGTGTAACAATTCACTCTAAAAGTTTTAGAGAGAGAGTATGCATAATGATACATTATTTTAGATAAACTTTATATAAAATAATATATTAATAAAAAGTAATATACATATATTATTGTTCTTAGAATTTTCGTAATTTTAAGAAGATCCATTTGACTCGCTCAGCTCCTACATGTGTATTGAATTTTTCGTGAATGAGATAACACTATATTACACGTTTAAATGTGTAAATTAATTTTTGCATGCAGTTTAATGTGTTATTTGAAGACATTTATTACGCATTTACTTGGATTTACAGTGTATTTGCCAAAAAACATGGGGTCAAGGGTGACATTATCGACTCAAATTGACGAATTTACGTCGCCAGAAACGATCTATCATCAAGGCGTTTCATCTCGAGGGAGAAAAAACCTGAATTTATTCGCGACAGAGCGGGCAACCTCGCTACCCACTCCTTCGCTATTTACCCTGCGCAATTTGAACTGACCTCGATATAAAGATACAAGATCGGATGGTACGCCTACCTGAGAAGAGCTAAAAATTCTGTGGGCGCGGAGATCGGCGGATGCTGCGTGGAATATCGCAGCCACGTCCGCGACCGTGGTCTTAACTCGTTACGTGCACGTCGCAGAGATTACGTATTACGAGACCCCGTTTTGCGTAGATTTGCGCAACAATCGGCAAGCTAGCCGACCGAGTTCTTCCGTCTCACATTACGATGTGAATCGGCGTCGATTATAACGGGGACAAGATCAAATAATCTTTTCGCTCTGCTCTGATGACCTCAAACTGAATAAATCTATCCAATCGAATTTTATCGCAAAAAGGAATTGCAAAACAATGATATAAGAATTTATAATATATTTATAATATATCAAATGCGATAAATTATCTAAGTTGATGATTTTTAAGAAATTAGCTGATATTTGTTAACACACTGAACTAAAATTGTAACTGAACGTAAATACAATAAAATATTCATTGAATTATGAAAAAATAATGAAAATTAGTCCAATAAATTCTTGTAATGATTTAGGTTGTAACACTATTGCTAATTTTTATTGTCAAAATTATTATAGTTATATAAATGAATCCAGTTATTGTATCAATGAATTAACTACATTAAGTCGGATATTGATGAATGATCATTTATTGGATCAAAAATGACCAAAATTTTTTTCAGTGCAAGATTAAGTATTTTCTTTCTCACTACTCCACAATTTTGCGACTACAGTTGAAGAAATGTAAACGAGTGCATTGTCATTATGGAACCAAAAGTTGCTTGCTTTATACGACTGAAACAAAGAAATTAATAAACGCGTCTATTCAAAATTTTTAAAGCAGCTCTGTGAAAGCTCTGATCAATCTCTTGTATGAAATTATAATATTTATTATTATAATTATAATATTTATTAATATTTATTAATTTGACATTTGTGGCGTCAGAACCGAGAACTTTTCGAATTATCCTTATACGAAAGAAATTGCGAAATAATGGAATATTTACCGAATACGGCGGATTTAATTTAAGCTCACCATTTCAAAGAAATCCAAAAAACTTGTGATATTTGTTAACAAAATTAAATAATTTTCTTTTTCGTGCTATTCTGCTGATCTCAAATGAAACTATAATTTATTTTATATCGCATTATCGCTGAAAGATATCTTTTTTTGAACAATGGAACATAAAGGAGCACATTTACATTGAATACAACAAATAATTTAAGTCGACCGGTTTAAAGAAACTGACACAAATGTTTGTTAATAAAATTATTCAATCCTTTAAAAGGAATTTATACCTTGAGTTTTTATTGTCCTTTCAATGATTCGTTACCAATTTTCGAAGCAATAGACACCAAAAAGAGGACTACCTTGAAGGGATTGTCGAGTAATTCATGACCGGTTGTCCACAAATCGGGCGTGTTTTGCAAGAAAATTTCATTCGAATACACATTATGTTGACGTTACGGATCGTTGCATAGAAAACGCCGTGCAGAGTGATTGAAAGTTACAACAAATATCTCGACATAAAAGATTTTGATTAACTAATATATCTTTGAACACCTGATTGCAGGAACTGAAAATTCGATTGCGAGAAGAAACGAGAAAACCGGTTTCTATAACTACGAGATAACGTGAAACAGTTATCTTGCGAGATCCTAAACGACCCGTGCCATTAGCAAGGACGCGATTAATCGTGCTTAACGAGGTATGCAACAATGAGATTCAGCAGATAACGATTTATGATGTCGCGTACACTTTCGCGAAAGTAGATCTGACTAACGGTAGAATGTGATAATATCGAAATAAATAAATGTAACAGAATATTTGCATTCGAAGAAGAAGAGCAGAATTAACACATTTGCAACGCAGTATATAATAGTTTATATACTGAGAAAAAAAATGGTGTATTGCAATTATCAATTTAACTATAATTCAGTTTTCGGTACCAAGTATTTATTCTTTTATAATAGAATTATAATATAATTATTATTGCTAATAGAGTATATGGAGTGATAATTAGATATAAAAATGGAATTCATAAGTACTTTATCATGTAATCATAGTTACAAATATCAAACATTTCTCTCAGCATAGAAATTCTTAGAAAGAGATACTTATTTGGATCTCTAGATTATATAAATTTTAAAAATTAAATCTTTTAAACATTCTCAAAAGTCGAGTGGATTAAAGGGTGTTGATTGGAGCGCGTGTAGAAAGCACAGAATAGTTATTACGGAATAGTCTCTTTACGCCACTGCTGTTCCATATGAATATATTTTTTCTAACATATACATCGGAAGTACGAATATTTGTGCGCGATAAATAGGAGATGCATGAAACGTGACGCTGCAAAATCACCGCAGGCGAAAAGATTATCGAGAGTTGCGATCGAAGGATCGGCGAGAAAGAACTATTTATTTCGGAGTGATCGGAGAGGTAGTTAGTAATATCTTAGTAAATCTTATATAGTCTTCCAATTCTTGAGGTAGCTGCACGAAAAGAACAGTTTTGCTGAAATATCTAAAAATTTAGCTTATAGATAGGAATCCCAAAATAATTTTGTCGGACTGTTAAAATAATAAAATGTTCAAATTTTGCCCAAACAGCACAGAAGCTTGCAACAAGTGTTGCAACGTTTGCAATGTTATTGGATGTTGCTGCAACATTATTAAAATGATCTGTGCTGTATGAGTGATAGCTGGAAGTTAAAATGTTTTCCAACACTGCTCATCATGTGAGCATTTTACATAATGATTTTGATAGTCCAAGAAAATTATTTTCAAATTTCTATCTAGATTTTTAGATACGCCAGTAAAATCGTTCTTTTCGTGTGGGAAGGATATCGAGGATCATTGGTGGATTCGACACAGCTAAAATCGTGTGGTCGATTTCATGGGATCGTCGACGTCCACTGAACGAGCGGAAAATGCATTTCGCTCCGATCATTTTTTCTCGTGGTCGAATTAATAGTAGCTGCTGGCCGGGCCGTCCCAAGCAGGATTGTAGGCACCATTGTTCCAGGATGGATCGTAGGCGCCAGCAGCAATTGGATCGGCTGGACCGGCCGGCACGCGCCGCGCTTCCGCATTGTAAAGAGAGAAATGTACGGCCTTGGCTTGCTGTACCTCGGGCGTGTCAACTACGCGGCCGTCTGGGCCTAGTGGGGCTGGTGGTCCGCTGCAAGATGTATTCAGACGATTTTAGAGAATTAAGTTTGACTGGATTGACTCTTGTTATAAATTATATCATATAATTATATCACTTTTTTAATACATTAATTTATATGTATTAAAAAAAAATAGAATCTTGAAAAAACAATTCTTTCTAAATTGATTCTACACTAGAAAAACATTGTATAAATTAAATGAAAATATTAGATTCAATCAGCACGTCCGTTGGAAAGTAAACGAATCAACATTTTTTTGGAAAAACTATTATATAGATGAGAATAATTAATTCTTTCTTGTTAAATATAGCAGAATTTTTCAATGATAATACTAAATTTATTTAGTTACATTAGTATAACATTTTAGTAAAAAGAATATCTAGTGAATGTAAAGTAGCAACTTTATAGATTCAATTAAAAATATTAATAAAACCTTTGTAGTAAGTGTATGTTAAATCTATCAATCTTTACAGAAATTCAATTTAATACCAGAAATTACTTACTTTGAGTATTATAAAAGCACTAAATAACAGTATTAACCAATCGATAATTCTGTTTCTTTAATCTCAGCAAAAAAAAAATACATTTTATCATATACATACGTCTTGTTGGCAAAATAAAAATCAGTTTTCTCAATGTAATTTATAGTTGCATTTGGAAATAAGAATTTACGAAGACGCTTCAGAGACCCAGTCTAGTAACGCACGTTTGACACAAACCTGTAATGGGAAAGGTAATTTCCGGAAGCGTATCCGCTGGATTGGGGATAAGCGCCAGGATAAGCGCCAGGGTAAGCTCCTATGGGTCCCGATCCCTTTGGTGCCCGTGCATTAGCCTCCGCTAGAGCACTCAAATGAGCAGCTTTCAACTGCGCGACTTCCGGTGTATCTACCACACGACCATCGGGGCCCAATGGCGCCGGAGAAGCATGGGGTCCATACCACTGTGGAGCCGCCAGAATCACGCTTGACATTGCAGAGAAGAGAATCTAAGAATTAAGATGTGATAAAGTATTATCTTCTGGTTGACTTTTCATTATTAGGTCTATTTTTGTAGCTGAACTAGTGTACACTCTTTGTACTTAAAGTGAAATAGATGTACGTTTGAGATTTAGCAAAAGCGAGAAGAAACGTTTTAGTGCAATTCAGTGTAGCAATAAAAACAAACCTATTGTTTCTTATTAACATTCATTTTTAATATATATATATTAAGAAACAGGCGTACAAAATTGGGTAGAATTTCCATTGGAAGAATTTTCCCTTTTCCCTTTTCCAATATGGAAAAGAAAAGAACGACACTGATTAGTAAGTTACATGAGAGATTAAGGCGTGATAAAGGATTGATTAATTATCGACATTAATATTATATATAAGACTTAGAACGGGTTTTAGTTAGCCATCAGTTATAAGTGTGTTATAATTATAAATGTGTGAGGTTTAAGAGAAATTGTAAATCAAGTCCCTTCATGGCATGTAAACTTTGAAGTAATAAAATTCTTATTCTTATATAAGGGTGTGAGAATAATAAATGACTTAGAAAGCGAAGTAATATTAATTTCGTAAGAATTTAATATTAATTGCCGAGATGCGAGAAAGTCGGTTAGGAGGAATTCCGGGCACTGGAATCTCACAGCTCACTCTCCTCGAGTTTGCAAGCGTACTCACGAAGTATCCGATCATTGCGGCGATCACCCTGCGTAACCCAAAGATATTCCGTCACCCTTAGATCTTCTAGGCAAGACACTGCGGCTGTCGGCACGTGCGTTTAGATCCGGATTACGGTTGCCATCAACGCGTCTGGTGCAATTTATAGGGGTACGAGCATTGATCGGGCGTGTTGCTGCTGCCCGTGCCCCGCCTGACCCGGCGCGACTCGCGGGGTAACAACCACACCCAGGAAAAACGTTCTCCTTAACTGCAACGCCGTGCCCCGTAACATTTACTTACGCTAACAATGGCACCCGTAAGCACGCGTGTCCCGTGACCTCGTCGTGTCAAGAATAAAAATGCGCCTAAGCTATGCCGTGTTAAACTATGCGCGTCATCCGCGGATGCAGTTTACCGTCATTAAAGTCACCGGCTTTCGCCAAAGTGACACTGGTACCGCGAGGCGAGGTTTATTAACGACCTTACACACAATTAGGTCGTTTGTGCTCTGCACATTTTTTTTCTTTAAAATACCGAAAGTGTCAAGTAACTAGTTTACTAGTTATAATAAGCATCAACAAGTAATTATTAATTAGTTGTAATAATGATATTTAAACTTTTTGTTGAAATATATATATATATATAGATACTTATTTTCTAAAAAAATTTTTATTAAAAAATTCATAATCACACATAAGAAAAATTAATTGTTTTTATTTGTTCGAATGCTGTATGGACGATGCTGTGGGTAAAGTTTTCGATAAATTTTTTCATTAGCATTTTATTAAAAGGAAAAAGTATAATTCCTTGCCAGACCAATTTACAATTTTATCTTAGGCTTATATCTTCCGGCCGCAATCACGCAACGAGTTACACCCACTACACCCTGCAGTATATGGGTTTATTTATCCGCACGTGTCATATCAATCACAATAGTATGTCAGGAGGTGGCGATAACAATAGTTGTTGAATAACTAAAACGGAGACGGTAGTGTCGCAACTGGCCGCTTGGCCAGTTCATCGATCGAGCCCTATTGGTACGTCTGATCTGAAAGGTATTGCGCGTTTGTCACCAACGCAATACCGACGTGTTTAGGCGTTTAGTCGAGCTTGACGAAGTGACAGTCGATCGTGAGTGATCGATACGCACGATCGACATCTGAACTCGTGCTTCTGAACCGTAATTGAGCTCGGCATGTCGCCAGCACTTCACCGCAGAACCGCGAGAAAAAGTTTGTCTCTAACCGCGTGAAATAAAACATTTGTACTTGTTGTATAAATTATTCAAAAGGCAGAAACGCACGAAGGTAAAGAAAAAAAAAACATCGCATAATAATTAATTTCTGTACTCTTCTATTTAACATTAGAAATATCAAGCGGTTATTATTGATTGCTTTTGTTTTTTTAGATTAATATTATTTTTTTTTTTTTTTTTTTGGGAAAGTAAGGAATCTGAATATTTTACTATAATAATTATATACTCCATATTTTGAAGAAATATTTGGTTTTTCATCGCTTTCTTTATTTTTAAAACAATTTATTAACTTGATCTTTTTAGTGGGTTAAAAAAACATATTTAAATTTATAATATCAAACTGAGTTATTTTTAACTAATTTAAGTTATTTTTAATCATTTTTATATAGGTCGTTATAATATTGTTCTTACTTAATATATCATAAATTTAATTAAAACAATAGAATTAAACAATTTAACTCAGAAAGAAAAAAGTTTTACTAAAATTTGGTTTATTATTTACTAACAATAAGTGTGTAATATATGGACGTTGTTTACTTTGAAACTGTAAAATAATTGAAGCACAGAAATGTTGATTGATTCACATTTTGATACACTTGAAAGTTAAAATCAATGTATTTTTTAACTCGTAGAAGTATTATTGCTTCGTAGAAGGATTATAAATTCTCTTTCGATATCTAACAGTGCTCTATTGTTAAAGTTATGAACTTGTCCGCGATATTTTTGCACGCAAAATACAAGAAGAAGAATTTCTGATATAAAATTATTTATTCACATGTTACATTTTTTTATTATTGTATCGTTACATATATTATTATGTCGTGCGAATTGTACAAAATATTTACGTTCATCCAAGCTGCACATCCGCCAGCGTGAACGTAAAAAGACGTGTTATCACTTAATCCTTTGAAGTCGCTGCTTTTACGCTATTAATGCAGATAAGGAAATTAGGTCCTTCCGGAAAACATATATTCCACGATAAAGAGATTCAATATGAGATGTGCGGATAGGTGTTCGCGTACGATAGATGAGCAACTTTGGACAATTCGTGAGCGTGGGCGGTGAGATGCGCGGCCTTGGCATGGGCCACTTCCGGCGTATCCACTACTTGTCCATCGTGGCCGAGCGGTGCTGGTGGACCGTGATATTTGCCATGGTATCCGGAGTAACCGTGACTTCCGCCCGCGGGAGCAATTATGCCCTTGTATCCTGCAAAGCCTCCGTCATAGTAACCTCCGTCTCCGCCCCCGTAATATCCTCCCCCATAACCTCCCCCATAATGTGCCGTTTTGGCAGCTTCCGCTGCGTGCGCTGCTAGATGTGCCTTTTTGGCGTGAGCCACTTCCGGTGTGTCAACCACTCGACCGTCATGGGCCAACGGGGCCGCTGGTCCGTGATAATATCCTCCGCCGTGCACCCCGTTAACGTACGGTTGATAAGGCGCGTATGTCGGCAAAGCCAACGTCGACAACGAGAGGCACGATAAAACGATCTGAAAGGACGAATAGACGAGACAGTTTAGTTGGATCGTCAAGATAAGGAACTACGAAGAGGCAACTGCTATCATCTATGTGTGTGCACTGCAAGATGATTCACAATCGTGAATAAAATTATATTCACTGTCAGACATAAAACTGATGTGTTCATTGTGTGAAAAATTTAATGGCAAAGCCTTGTATAAAATATTTTTCAGTCTAAATTGAGTATTATTATATTAAAAATTAATAATATTGTTCATATAATAAAAATAGTAATAAAATAATAAAAGAAAAAATAATAAAAGTTAAATTAAATGGTTAATTGTATAAAAAAAATTGTTATTCTAAAAATAATAATATAAAAAAGTATTACTTTTAAAAGTAATGAAACATAATTTTAATTTAGTATTATTTTTTCGAAAAATAATATTTTTGTTACTGGACAATTATAAAGATGAGGAATCTCAGGATAGGGTATCAATGTACTTACAAGGGTCTTCATGTTTATGCGCGCTATCCAAGATCAGGCGAATCTCTGTCCGTACAATCGGGCCACGTAGACTTTATATAGCCGACGGACAATACGAGCGTCTAATACAGACGTCTGTATTAAATAGAGTAAACGCGAAACGTTTTACAACACGGGCCCGCCCTGATTTTCATATGATAAAAACGCGAAAAAAATCCGGTTTTTTTGTTTAATATCCCTAAAAGCGAAATGGAGGCACATCAAGTGGATCATTTTAGCGAAAAAACAAGAAGAAAGATCAAAAAATCATGGCACAGAGAAAAAACGAGAAAGAGTTAGAAGTAAGGAGAGAGAGATAGAGAGAGGGGGGGGAGAGGGAGGGAGAGAGAAAGAATAAGAAAAAGTGAAAAGGGGAGGAATAGAGGGAGGCTGGAATGTCAGCAAGAACAGAATTATGATTGCGCCAAAACGCGAACGTTCTACAAACGATGTTGTACAATTCGCTTGGCAAAAAGTGTCAGCGGGCGATGGGAACGTTTGATCGATCGCCGTATCTCGTCGATCTCCCGATTTATTAGCGAATGCTCGCGAAGAAAGACTAAAGATTGGACCCAAGCAGAACAGCAGGTCACGATAACATTATATATAATAAATCATGACGTTAAAATGAATCATAACTGAAAAAGTAAGTTTTAATAATTATTTTGGAATCATTGTGAGGCTATCTTAATATCATGATGACGTTTGTTCTTGCTTGGGGAGGCCCAATATAAATCAGGAAGAGAGCAGTCAAGGCTAGCTGAGACAAGCGTTTAATCGCAAGTTTTTCGACACCGTGTTTATTATATCGAGTTTAACGTGACGATTAAACGCTGTCAATGATTCGTTCGTGAGAAGAAAAGCACTCTTTAATATCTTTGAAATTAAAATTATTCTGGACATTGACATTCTCTTGACCGTAATGAATTATAAAATACAGATTCGCGCGCATTAATAACCATAACGTAATCCACGATTTATTATCTTGAATTAAAAGCTACTCGAAATTCCGTCACGTAAAAGCGCGTCTAATTACTTAATGAGCCATCACAATTTACTTCGAGAGCATTATAAGAAAAGAGTGCCTGATAATAATTGCATCAAATATAATTGAATATCCGATCTTCTATTGCAAGATTTAATGAATGATTAACAATTAGATAATTCAATCAACAATTAGACGAACGATACTTGGATGATGATTAAATCAATTACATCTTTGCACGGAAAAAAATGATATATGAAATAATTAAATAATTATATTAACATTAGCTAACAACTAAATTTAAAAAATTTTGTTAATTGAATAACAGTATTGATGAAACAAATAATATTTTATTAAAATAAGGACTTGATGCGTGTTGATGAGAAAAACATCGTTTTTTTTTTGCAATACAGTCTTGCATTGCTAATGCAAAAATAGAGAATTGTATTTTGTCACTTTAATAAAAATCGACCAATCAGTTGTACGAATATTAGCCGAACAATATTCATCATTGGTGGGGTGATACTGTTAGGTAAGATTAAATCACCGATTGTATATAAACCGAGCATTTAGTTCTCGATGGTTATAAAACGGTGACACTTCCATTCAGGATTGAACGTAACAATGATGTCTTTGGTAAGTAACTTTATTGGATTACGACTATTTTTAACAGTTAATCAAAAAATTGCCTTGAGAAATTTAATATTGTTACAGACACACAAAAAACATAAAATAGTAAGATGTAAGCAGTAAGTGAATCACAACAGAAACGTGAAACAATAATGTAAATCCAAAATATTGGTTTACTAATTACTTGCGTCTTACTGTTTAAATTTTTTGTATGCCGTAGCCTTATAAGTATTAATACTGTAAGTATTAAATTGATTAATGATTAATTATTTATTTTAAAAGCACCGTTGTTAATATTTTTAATACTTAAAATAAGTAATTAATCATTAACTAATTTAATACTTATAATATTGAGTTTCTGTAAGGATTATTGAAAAGTTTACATTATCATCCCTATCATTAATGATTAGATAAATTATCGGAATTGCGATAAAATTTACAATGAGAATCGCAAAATGGAGAAAATATTTCCTTCCGATTATTATTTAGAGATTCATTTTCCTAAAATGTTAACGCCGAGGAGTGCTGTTTTTATTCATTTTTGGAAAAAAAATGTTTGGTTAAATTAACTGGAATTCTGGTGGAAAGTGAACGATCCAGAATTTTGATTACATCTACAGATTTCTGATGAAATTTATTGAATGTTCGTTATTTCAACTATAATTTTAATAAATTTAACCGGAAATGTTGTAGATTTAACTAAAATTCTGGATCATTTATTTTCCAACAGAATTCTAATTAATTCGACCAAACATTTTTTCCTGTGTGTGTTCATAGATTTTCTTATTCATCAATATTGCCATAACTTTGGCTATGCCAACGCATTATCAGTATCACGGACCACCGGCGCCCATAGGCCATGATGGCAGGGTCATGGACACGCCGGAAGTAGCACATGCCAAAGCGGCGCATCTAGCTGCCGTAGCGGAAGCTGTCGCGAAGGTTCCGCATAGCGTGGCTTCCTACGCGGAAAATCAGGACTATCACGGATATGCAAAGCCCGTATCAGTTGATCATCAAATGTACCACAGCGGATACGGATATCACGGGCCGCCTGCCCCGTTAGATCATGATGTAAGATTTTTATCCTATTCATTGTCAGTCGAACAATTGGGGAGTTCGATGCAATAATACTTCGTGATTTGATAATGCAGAAGTAATTCCTGAAAATGTGTTCAATTTAGATTATCATTTTCCTCGAATTCTTGAAGATATGAAGTACACTCTAATAATGATAAAATATGATATTAATTATTCTACTCTCTAAAACTTTTAGAGAGTAAAATCTCTCGCACTCTTAAAAATTGAAAATTAAGCCATTCTTTTTTAAGACTGGCTCTATTTCCACTCTTCAGGTGAGACTCCAGAGAATTTACAGAGTATGCGACTTGTTGTATATACAATAAAGATATTACTATTAATAGTAGTTTACATGCTTGAAATTTTGTAAACTTCTAAAAATGAACTTTACATTCTGTATATAGTGAAAATTACAATAATTGATTCGAAAATAGTTTGATAACGTCAGGGAGGAAAGCCAGAACATCATCTCTCTATGTTTCATTGTCTCTTTTATTTTCAGGGTCGCGTAATAGACACGCCGGAAGTGGCCCGAGCAAAAGCCGCGCATCTAGCGGCTTACAATCACATAGCTTCCTCGACACCTGTCGCGTACGATCATTCGCAGATTTACAAGCCACCGGTTTACAATCATGACGGCTATTATGACGGCGACTCGTCAAGTCACCTGTCTCACGATGACAGAGAGATTAATAGTTATAACGATTACTAATTTTGATTAAAAGAACATAAATTTGATTAAAAGAACATGCGGCAACGTGACCGTCAAGTTGACACTTTCGCGATTAAACGATGACGACGCGTTTAAAATCGGCGCGACAAAATTATGAAATTGACGTTGCCACAAAGTTTCACAATTGGAAAAAGCGTTCCTTAATTTCATATGGATGGTAGTTAGTTATACAATGCGTTTTCAAGTTTCGTGATACGTTGTAAATGATATGCACCTTGCATCATCGGCTTTCAGGCTGAACCGTAAGATGCACGCATCGGATTGTTATCTAAGACGCATTTTAGCCTGTAAGAAATATAAAGCATTTCGTTGTTATTTCCTGATTTCCTATTTTATTACAACAGTATGCTCCCAATACTGCTGTTTTGCGTAGATTCCTTTGCGAAACGGGAAAAATTCACGGAATATATTGTGTGTGTATCTATAAGAAAATTCAATATTCGTACTTAAAATGTATCTGTACAGTTATTCCACACACAACAACCGAATTTTAATTTATAACATTATCACATGTAATCTTGTTATACTACCTTGATTATGGAAAAGCATGTTTAATTATGATGTAAGATTATGATTGTTAACGTAGATATATAGAATATTGAACGGAATACTTTTAAAGTGATGCAACATAATATATCCTGTGTTATAATTTATAAAAGTTAAAAAAAGGGCGCAAATTTAAAGAAATATATTTTGGTAGCACGCTACAATAATCAAATCTTAATATCATAATAATTAATTGCAATTCATAATCCATGCATGTAATTTTATTACTGTCTTGACTACAGAAGTTTAATTACAATATAAGATCATGATTGCGACATAGATAGAATGTCGAACAGAATCTAATGTTTCAAGCGACTGGTTCTGTATTACAGTTTATGAATTTATAAATACATAGAAGAAAGAGTGCGATTTAAAGAGATATACCTATTTCGGTACCTTATAATAATCTGAATCTCTTAATATCATAATATGTATTATTGCATGTAATACTGCAATTATCTCGTCAACGAGAAATCATATATTTTATTACAATGTAAGATTATGATTTCTAACTTAGATGGAATATCGAACAGACAATATTTCAGTGATCGATCTTATGTTATAATTTATAAACGTTAAAAGGAAAGGCAATTTTTTAAAGGGATATATTTTAATACAGCACGCTATAATAATCGAATATTAATATCATAATATTATCGCATGTAATGATACTATCTTTACTATGGAAGATCATGTTTACGATGTAAGATTATGTTTGCTAACATAGATAGAAATCAGACAGAATATAACTTTTTAAGTAATCCTGTATTATGATTTAATATTAGAAGGAAAAACGTTATTTAAAGAGATATATTTCAGTGTGTGTCTGTGTCTTTATATATGTACCTTATGTTATAATAAACAAATCTCGATAATATAATCTTATTTCTAGATCTTGACTACAGAGAAGCTTATGTTTAATTATAATATCACGTAAGATAATAATTGTTACAACTTAAATAAAATATTGGATAGGCTGTAGCTTTTTAAGCTATCTATGAAACATCGGCACGGTTATAATTTATAGTTGCAAGAAGAAAAGACGAGATTTAAAGAGATATATCTTGGTACAGGACACTATAAGCAACATCATACCGTTGTCGAGAAACGATGTATGCAACAGGCATACCTGTCAACATCCGCCTGCGGCCTCGCAGGCTGGTTGTCGGCATACCTCGTCGTCTTTTTACATTTGCGAATGAATCCGAGGAATGATTGATCCGGTCAACCATGTCCCGAGCTCCCATTCCGAATACGTCGCAGTCGAATTCAATTCAAGGCTCGCAACATTTTACACGACGACTCCGACATCCCTTGAGCTATCGGTTTCATACGTATTTTTTACGTCGACATCACGTTGACATCATTTACGATATTCCCTCTCAGCCCATAAAGACACGCTAATTTCGAATATTTTATGATTAATAAAAAAAACCTTAATCTTCATTTCATTAAATCTTTGATAGTTATCTTATTTCTTCCTCTTTTGCGTGTTTCCTTTCAATGTCTATTTGCATTCACGTTACATGTATTTACATTTAATTTGATGGAATATAGCTGGCTTTCTCTTATTTTCACTTCTCTTTCGTCAATTTTGAAAGTCGATTTCCTCATAATGAAGCAATTTTCCATAGCAATTTTCCACGCAAATCTCAAAGTATCTTATATAATTACCCGTGTAATTATCTTAGCACAAGGAATCGAGGTTTATCGTAACAACCGCTCGATTCACCTAATCGGTATTTATAGGAATCGCGCTACGAGATCGATGAGTCGGCCCACACATGCCTGAGTTCGAAGGAAAACAACAAGTTAGCCGGCTAATTGCAGACGTCGTTTAATGGGCATTTAAGGCCATGCCCGTATGTGTGCTTATGCTAATAAACAATAGGGTCGCCAGGCGTGCCAAGATTATCTTGATTTTCAAGGAAAAGGGCTTTTGTTCCTCGCGACAGTCACGTCGTTGCATATCTATGCGTTATAATAAAGCGCCCACACGAATGCCAGGAAAATTTCTCATCCAATTTTGAAATGGTGAAAACAAGTGAAAATTTTTATTCGCACGCGTTTAAAGAGTAATTAACAACGCAACGTTCCGAACAGCGGTCATGCGTTACTCATTACGAAATCATGTCGATACTCTACATACGAGATGTACCAAAGTAAAATATTACCACTTTTTAAAAAAGGAGAAACGTGTTTTCTTAAAAACTACACCCTGGTGAAAATTTTTCTCAGAATTTTTCATATAATTTTTCAGAATTTTTATGATTTTTCAAAATTTTTATATAATTTTACAACTTTCTCACATTTTTTATACGAATTGGAACACCTCTCAGAAAATCTACATCTTTTCTCAGAATTTTTCATATAATATATTATGTTAATTATGAAATATCGTAAGATTTCTAAGATTTTTTGTAAGTATAATTTCTGATGAAATGTTATAAAATCTAAACAAATTTTTAAATATTTTTTTAAAAATTGTAGAATGAGAAATTTCAAAATATAATATTTCAGAATTTACTTGTATGAACAATTCTGAGAGAAGATGTAAACTTTCCGAATATTTCTGAATATTTCTTGAAAAATGTTTGAATTCGCTTAAAAATTATGAGAAAAATTTATACTGCTCCAAAAGGTTTGCTTTTACAAAAAATTATCGAATAATTCAAGACTTGACCATTACAAAAATTTTTAATTTAAGTTCCAAACATTGTAAGTGCCAATAAAAATGCAAGTGAAAATGTAGCATCGCCACACCTCATTTTTCTCCGGTTGTAGCAGCACTTTCCCCCCATCGGATATTAGAATCTAGAACACAACACACTTACAACTCATTCATACAATAAAATGCGTTTGCACAATTTTGATACGTACATTTTGCTGTCCTACTATAATGAGTGATAATAACCTCATATTTTTATAGTTATAAATATGAATAATTGTATAAATCATGATAAAACATCAAGATAGGATGGATAAATAAAATAAACCATTTTTATATACCAAATGAAATTGCAATTATAAATGACTATTTTTTAATCGCTTATTATTTACATGGTAATAATAACAAAAATATGTAGAAAATGTAAAGAAATAATTAATCGTCTCTATTCTGACTTTTAATCCTATTTTACAACTCTTAATTATTTTTGCGTAGTTTTTTATCATGTATAATCATTGTGTACATCAGTTATGATAATTATAAATTTCCAGTTGAAGCAGTTATAATTTTCATGGTCAAAACAATTGTAAATGTACACTTGACATTGAAAATGGCTATAAATTATTGTTAAAAACTTTTTTTGCAATGAATTTTTTATAAATGGCTACTTTTAATACAATCTCTCAATCATTTATTAACTTATTTAGAGCGATTTTACTAATTAATCAATTGTGTTAATTCACCATATTTACGTATATACGTAAATATGGTGAATTACAAAGTAATAAGGTTAACAATTTGCCATTATGTGCAAATGTATCTTACAACTCGGTCGTGTTGCTCAACGTTATTACGTTGGCGTGGCGCGTATAATGAATTAACGTAACACACGTTATGAATTTACTACATTTCATTTTAATAAATGTATGAGAGATATGAATCGCTTAAATAAATATTAAAAAGTAGTTCTGCAAGTTTCAATCCATTCTTCCGCTACAAATTTCCTTGAATAAAATTCTCAACGATTTCTAGAAGATATTTTCTCTCTAAAAGATCCTAGAAAATTAATGCGTTTTAATATCTATCAGAAGAAGCTTCCGTTTTTTTTTTTGAGCAAAATAACAAAATTCTTGACTTCTTGAAAATGTTCTCCCGCGAGATATTATGGATTCTTAAACGTCGAGCGGTCGAAGCGGTCTGCATGAGACCAGCACAAAGAGGATTTCGTCAGGAAGTGAGACCTTGAGGAAGTGGAATTTTCGATCGAGCAAAAAAACGTACTTGCACCTGCCGATACATATCGGACGTCGCTCGTCAAAAAGCGACCCGTCCCGATCTCATCCAGGAAAAGTTCTCGATTTCGAGGACGCGCGGCCGACCTTCATTTCGCGCTCTTTTTCTACGTCGCACCTCATACATTTTAATTGCGCCTTGTCCCTTCCACCTTTCGGCAGCTTTGATATCGGCAAGGACGGCCGTTGATCGGTCGCACCTGACAGCATCGGGAAGTCGTGGTATAGTTGTCTTAACACAGTGAACGGAGATCCTCCGCTGGCGGTGTGCAACCTTGTTGATTTTATTTATTTTTTTTTTTATTGAAGATTTTTCTCGCGGATAAATATAGGGATCTGTCAATAAGACACTGACAAATGCAATTATAGGTGTCCAATATCACACTTTTACACCTTTTATTATACTTTTAAATAGATGCAATGAAGAGATTGCGAATACAGAATTAATTGATCCAGATTAAGGCTGCATCCAGTTTGGATACTCAGGTATTATAAGCTTCATTCCGTCTTCTTTTCTCAAATAATGAATGATAAAAATAGAATGAAGCTTATCACTAATCTGTAACTAGACCGTTATATGGGTCTTGGTAAGCTCAGGACATTTTTCTAGTTTTCAAATAGTGTAATGATTTGAAATAATTTTGTTTCACAGTTAGTTTTATTTATGTAGTACTATCATCGTACTATATATTTATAACTAACTATAAGTTCAAACGTTGCAATTCTTAAAGAAAATAAAAAACTAATAACAAAAAGTTAGGTTCCAAGAACTTATGTGTTCCTTTAACACAAAAAATATGTATTATTGTTGCTAATTAAACAATTAAGTTAAATTATATGCAAGATTCAGCATAGAAAAGAACTGATGTATTTGTCTTAACTTTAATTACATCGCTCAGCAGTTAAGCTTCACTTAATACGTTAATATAAATTCACGTGCGCGTGCAGGAAGATGATAGTCTTGCACCTTGCGGTTATACGTCCATGAAAGGAACGCTCATTATCCATCATATTCGCGATAATAAACAAGGCTTCATGGCCGGAGTCACTTTCCACGCAATTCATCAAGCAAAAAGTAATCGACCCTTCGTGCGGCCTACCGCGCCGGACTTCCTGTTGGATCAGGCCGGGCCCTTGGCGGTCTCTCTTGACGATGATGATGAGGAGCGTGAAAGAGCCGGTTTCAACGAAGTTGGAAGACTGTACGAGACTGACCTCGGTGATGCATCCACATCTGAGGAGAGGTGTACCCCTTCCCAGACAGATTCAGACGGTGGCAGAGACTCATTAACGTAATGTCAATGTCAGATCTTTGAGGCATGACACAGGGTGTGGTCCCCTCCTACGGGATTGACGACTCCCTACCAGGATTCACATATATAAAAGGGGATACGAGCTTCAACACAGTACGACATAGCAGTCCATACTTTAGGGCGAGTACTGGTAATCACCCAGCAGCGCTTCATCACGTTGATAAAACATGAAGTCTCTCGTGAGTACCATCGGTCAATGGCGGGTCTCCGAAAGTTAATCTTACGGGCGAAAATTGTATACAATGGTCTATTCCATGATCAACATAACAGTATTGTCAAACACCAATGATACAATATCTATTCATTAGTTTTAATTGGAGCTAATATATTCTACGCCATTAATTTTTTCCGCAGTTAAATTACTCAAATTTTGGAGCCAGATACTTCGCAAATATTTAGGATAATTATGCATAGAATTTACTCGTGCCTTGGTTTTGCAGATTGTTCTATTCGCATTCTGCGCCATCGCGACGGCAACACCAGTCTTGGACACGCCGGAGGTAGCGCAAGCGAAAGCGGCGCATCTCGCCACCCAAGCTTATGAGGCCGCGAGGAACACGATCGGTTATGGATGGCCCGGTTATGGATGGTCCGGTTACGGATGGCCCGCCCTTTATGCACCTGCAATTGCATACGGCGCTCCCATCGGCGCGGATGGCCGAGTGGTAGACACACCTGAGGTCGCCCAGGCCAAGGCTGCCCATCTCGCCGCTCACGCCCAAGTATGACACTCTTGGTTTAGAGACGGTTGCGCAAACGGCAATAGCTATTCGTGACCGATATTCAACGTAGTATCGTTTGTTATTATTAAACGTCGAGAGCCGCCGAGGCAATGTTGACCTACGGTATAGAAATATTACATATATTCAGATGTAAGCCGCGATCCGATCATTTTGTTTCATATCATTTTATTTCAGAGACTTTTTGGTAACGTTATTTCACCTTTTGTGATTCCTTTGCGTCGCGATGTCATATCGTTTAATTAAATATTTATTCACACAGGAGGCTGCCAAGACGATTGGACTGGTTCCATATGGTGCACTAGCATACGCCACTTCGCCTGCATTCTATGCTTACGCTCCACTTGGACCTGATGGCAGGGTAATCGACACTCCTGAAGTAGCCCAGGCTAAGGCAGCACATTTGGCCGCACACGCTGCAGCAGCCCGAAACGCTGTTTAATAAATTGTAAAGTAACCATTGGAAATTGCGTATAAAATCGAACTATCTCTATCCAATTGCGAAAGTACATGCGGAGACACTTGTGCCATGATTAGCCATGTTTTGTATGGATCTGATGTGAGGAAATTTTAACAATAAACAAGCCATTTTTAAGAATTGTATGCTGTTTGGATTCGTTCTTATTAAATAAATTAAATTCGGAACTATTTGATACGCAACAATTCAAAAGATAATAATAATTTTTTTATATTGTGATTTAATGTGTGTTAAATAATCAGAAATAAATAGAAATAATGAGTCTTTAAATACAACGAAATATACACAAACGAGTTTTCGTCGCGATATGTAATTTTGCACCTTCCATCAGCAATCTGGGTCTTTAAACACATTTTCATTCTTTACGGTTCTATCCTGGGTATTTCCTGTCGTGCCAATTTCTGTTCGTGCAAATTTCTCGTAAGTTCTACGAATTAAATTGTGTATTTTATTATTTATCAAATAAAGTTTAAACGTTTTTAAAAAAGATGTGCATGGTTTGCAAAATTAGATGTGTACACAAATTCATACAGAAATATTTTAGCACTAAGATCCACTTTGACCAAATACATATAGGCCTTCTGTTATTTAATTAAATTTATTCTCAGTCCAAATTTGTATCATAATTATTTAAGGGGTAACATCTAGGTGAAAATTTTCAATAAATCAAAAAAATTTTTTTGTCTGAAATGATGCTTTAAAATCTTAAAAATAAGGTGCAATTAGTTTTATACGTAAAAAAAATGTTTTAAAATGGTTTTACAATGATTTTTCTTAAGCGCGGCGCTATCTAAGCGCATCGGAGAAGTGCGTAGCAGTTTAAAGCTTCTGCGTTCTGTAGGTATATAATATCAATGTTAGTTCAAAATGCATTAAGAAAGCAGCTGAAGAGAAGAAACTATCGATAAAAGGACATAATGGAATTACTGTGTCTGATAGGACGTGGAGAAAGCGAGGATTTTTGTTAACTCGACTGTGTGGTCGCTCGCTCCGAAAACATCTTCAAGTGGCAAAAAAATATATCAACATCGCTGCAAATATCACAACTTGCATTTTCAATGATGGATTGTCAAGTATAATGGAAATTATGCAAGTATTATACAACTAACTGGGGCCACAATTGCTATAATTTCTGCGTCGAGGCCGCCGCAGTCTAATCGCGCGCCGCGTTAAGTTTGCTGAGCGCTCGCTTACAAATGCCACTAAGAACGCTCGTAGAGCTTCCACATCCTTCAGAAAAGAGGAAAAGGAAACAAATATCAATGTGGAAAGATAGTTGTATGGTGCAGATATCGTAGACTAAAGATAAATTAAAAATTTCTATAGTTAAATATGAAATAATGTTACTCTCTCAAAACTTAAAAAACGTTTTTCTCGAAACTGTTTTTCTAATTGGCTTGCAGCATAACTTTAACAAACTTTATCCGATCCACTTGAAATTTTTACAGCAGTTGCTAAACTAAATTCTCTAGAGAAGCACACATAATTTGTAAGATCGATTAAAAACTTTTTTTATTATAAATACTTTTTTATTGAATTTTTTGGGTGAAAACGAAACTTTCTAGTCACATGTTCACCGTTCCTACAAAAATCAATATTTTAACATATAAGGGAGTACTTCTCTAGTAAATTTAATGTAGATTATAAAAAAATTTTGCTTTTTGTCCTTAGTGAAAGTGTACGGCACTTCTGCTGCAAGTCCCGAAGGCCTATGAGAAAAACGCAGTCTCACTTATATTGTAGAGCTCCAGCGCCGCCATCTTGACACAAAAAAATTAAATAAAAATTATTTTGTGAACTTAGACATATGTAGGTACATTAAAGGCTTTCAATCCGAATTTCCACTCATCTTATTATTTGACTATAAAAAATTTACAAAGTTACCCTATGTTTTCAGGTGTTCATCTAGATGTTAGATTAACATCCTTAAACCTTTGTTTTAGAAAGTTGTAAGTGTGTTCGTGAATTTTTAGAGAGTGATACACTTGCACACTGTTGCAATTGCTCACAGCCAATCACAGCGACTTCTGCGTAGGGAGTTTTCTTTAATTTTTTTTCTAGCTCTATGGTTGACTTGTGCACAATTGGTTCGTGTGTAATTGATATACACACAATTTTTAAAGATTTTTAAATCATTTTAAGAGTAGGTAAAAAAATAGATTCAAGATTTATATTATAGTGAGGCATCGTTTTGTATTTGATATCGCAAGGGTTATATAATTTCAAATTGTATAAAAATCTAAAAAAATTCTTGCATACTTGTGAAAGCTTTAACGAATTTTTACTTTCGTAGAAACTTACTTTCAGTTGTATTTTAATTATTTTTTAAGCTTTTTTTTTTCATTGGAAAATCTTGTGCAGCACCAGCACTATGCTAGATTTTAATGCTACATACACTCAATTTGTTGGATTTGGTATTTGCGGCAATGAGCTTTCGAGTTCCTAACGCCTAATAATAATAATAATAATACACTCAATTAATAGCTACTACTCGAATTGTACTGATAATAAAAGTACTTATATTTTTTTTTCTATGTACTTTATGAGCGGAGATATATATAATTATACAGACCTAAATTGTTTATTTTACAATGATATTCTAATTTATTTATTTAATTTTTAAAAACTTCAGATTAAGATAAGATTTTTAAATATCAAAATTTTAATGTCATTCACATACTTATTATTAGAAACGCTAAAATTAAAAACAATATTGTTGTATGAAGTTAATTAGAATAATGATTATACCTTAAAGCATGAACATAATCTGCATTTCAATTTGAACTGATTTCCATTATCTTTAAGAAGAAAGAAAACTGAATTTAGTGTAATGGTGCTTTTTTTGCACCAGTTTTGTCTAAAATTACACTGAAAATATGTAAACTGATTTTCACAATGGAACAGTACAATTACACTCAGTGCTGCACTAGTTTCCTCAATAAAAAACGCTATATAGATTGATATTTATTTATCAAAATTCATAATAAAAATCGACTGTTTCTTCAAAGTCCCACATTATCAGCTGAAGAGTAATTAATTTAAATTGTTTTCTAAAAAAATATTCAATAATCACATCATAAAAATTCTAAAAAAGATAAATGGTCCAGACACTGTCATTCTGCATATTACTCGGCCTTCCCGATTTCGAGCGCTTTTCGCGCCATGGCTACCGCGCCATCCTTGGTTTTATGACCGCCGATGAACCGAACAGAGTGCACGAATATGGCGCCTTCAATTCCACAGGCTTCCACAAGGGCATCAGCGCGCAAACCGCCCCACGCTACTGGCAAAAACATCCTGCATACGAAACTTCCCAGTGCTACCGGCATACATTGAACCCGATAAGCGTTATCAGCCTCAAAAATGGCGTACTTTATTGACGGCGACACGTTCATATCCTTCTCCAGTTGAAACAAATGTTCCTTCCACGGTATTGCTTGCGACAACACTATTATCTCTCCGCTCGGATCGACCTTACGAAAATATTTTAAATTTAAACTACAATTGGAATGTCTAAAGCTAAAAAAAAAGATAGAGGTAGAGTTCTCCTTACTTCAAATCGATTTTCCACAGCACGCCGCACGAGATCTCTTGCCGGTAACCATATGTTTTTCGAGTATTGTACAAATTCTAAAAATTCCTCCAGAACCAAAGCCATAGCTTTCTCAAATTGTTTCTCGATATCCACATCCTGACTATTCCACTGAGGATTCAATCTGCTTACGCGCGCGCTTAAGTCGGTAACTATTCGATATCTGAAATAAACGCAAGTGCAATAATTTTGAAGAAGTTGTGCAATGTATCATCATAAGTGTCTACTTACAATGGCTCAGCATCATACATGGGTATGCCGTTATCTATACCGTCAATTTCCTTGATTAGGGTGTCGTAGATCTTCTTGAAAATCTCATCGATGATTCTATCCTCTGTTATATTTGAAAGTATATTCCTTAATATCTCATGACCGAAATGGCAGTAGATCAGTCCGGCACTGCTTAATCTTATTGTCCAATCGTATCCTGGTTTTTTCATAACGGTACTCACCGATTCTTGGAATTCTCTGTGTGATACGAAGAAAGAATAAATAACACAATGCGACAAAAATAGAGATTTTATTTAATGGTGAAAAAAATTTTCATAATATCATATAATATCTTCAAAAATATGTTTTAAATTTATAAAGATTTCTGAAAAAAATACTTTAAACTTTTTCAGATTTTATACACGCTCCATGCCTGTAAATGAATAGAAATGCATTCAGGATTGAAAAGCATACATTTTAACATTCGTGAATCAATATTTCTGAAAATCTGAATCCATTTCAATTCATTTCAATCTATTTCCGATGCTGGGAGAGATATAGTATAGTTAAGTAAGTCTAATAAACTCACCAATCTAGAAAAATAAATTAAAAAGTATGCTAAGTTTACCTCATGTGATGGTCATATCGATGTCTGGATGGATCATACTCTCCACCAACGTCCACCACGATATCACAAGTATCCAAGACACTCTGACTTCGAGATCTAAAAATGTAATGGGATATCTATGGATTCTGCAACCCAATACGTTCTATTTATTTTATTTTTATATTATAATTTATGTCATTTAACTAATGTCCTTTGCCAACTTTATCAACTTGATTTAATTACTCAACAAATATAAAAATTTATTATTTATTACATGTTATGTATTGATTATATGTTCAGGATATATTGAGTTATATTGGATAATATTGTATCAATAATTATGCTATTAATGTCTATATTTCTATAAACCAATGTAGATTAACTTTAATCTTGATTTAATTTACTCCTTAGAACTAAAAAGACAAAAAGTAAGTTAAACCAAGATTAATGTTGACCTACATTGATAGAACAGTAGGGTTTCAGCTTTAACTTTGTTACAATTACCTCACTATAGAAGCATCCTTATACTGCGGCAGTAGTTTCAGGAGCGCGCAGGCGAGGACTTCATCGCAATGAAAAGTCCCGTCGTGCGTACCGATCCTGACGGCTGACTTGCTCGACATCGTTTTGAAAGTGAAATCGAATAGGCACGTTTCCCGCCACGTGAAAAATTTGAAGAATCCACCGGAACGCGCGTTTCTTGGTAATCGACTAAAAACTCGAATCATCGTGCTAAATTACGACTTGAAGCTATATCAAGTAAATGTCCAGTATTACTATCAATCTTACGAATTCTCACCAGATTGTAGCGAAACGTGAATTCTGCTAGAAACCTCTTTACATGTAGAAGTAATCCAAAGTAACCTTTAAATTGAGGTTATGTGTCTCAATGGTGCATATCGCTGACTATACGTTTTATAGAAATACATATATATTGTACTTGATCTTTTTGAATCCAAAATCTTTTCCCTACCGGCGATTGGTTGATACAAATCGAATTTCTAATAGGACGACATACATAACTTGCTCGCTAATATTTTTAGGTTAAGTGAGAGTTATTCAACAACGTGTAATTTCCCACGCGAGATTTATCAATTGTTTACTCCTTTAATTTAATTATTCACATTCTCCTATTATATTGCCATATCTCATCAGATTATAATTCTAAGAAACGTAGTTTTTAATTTTCCAAAGGGAAAAAGAAATGTGTTTTAAATATAATCTTAATGTATTTAAATGTATTTAAAATTTAAAATACATTTAACCTTCCGAAGATGATGTCAAAATCTATAATAATGACACTGTGTCTGTAAAACTCACTTATTTTTATTAAAAGCATTAATATACATTTATAATTTTAAGGAACTCACAAATAAGTCAAATAAAAAAGAACAATACTACGTATATTTTAATAAGAACAATCCAAATTTGCAGATGCAACATAAAAAATTCAATTGTTTATATTTATATTTTTGTGTAAAGTAGCAGTTGTTACAATAATAGATATTAGAATTAAAAACTAATAGTAAATTCAAGCTTTCAACTTGTGTCATTTTTCTTGTGAGAGTGCAATATATGTTTTATTGAAACTGTAGTAACATTAGGTATTAGTCAAGTTGTTTATATTATGTTTTTATATAATAACTTTTAACGTACTTACAGAATGGTACAAGTGACTGGCCTTGTAGCAATACGATTCCACTTGATGCAATAGTTTCTTGTCATTGCCAGTTTATAGCCTGCTGCTACTATGTTATTTTAGTTCGTTTAAAGCTGGTCTAGGAAAATGCCAAAACGTACTTGTCCCTTCAAAGGGGACCGTCATCTGTTGCCACAGATGAAAATGCATGTAGGAGAAAAGCAGGTGGATAACGGTGTATCAAGTGACCAGCGGATGAGAGATGTCTATAGTAAGTATTAAGTTCGCTTTGTGAGATGTCATATGCTCTCTTTTAATCTTAAAACTTGTTCCTACTGAAGCTGATTGTGTTGATCAGCATACTACTTTCCTCTACTTTTATAAAAAGGAAGGAACTTAGTTGAAACAGTATGTCAATTCAATGTGGATGAGTCTTTACATTTGGCTTTATGTATACTTCCAGGTAGGACCCTGAATTTGCTTAAAGCAGGTGCGAAGACACTCTCCCATAAATTAAATACGTCAGGGCAAATGGATTCTCTAAACCTATCTTTACCTCAATGTCCATCACCTTGTAAATTCAAATCTATATCCAATATGAAACAGATGCTGTTGACTGACAAATTGCAATTGAAAACTAGTGACAAAGTTGTCAATGTGGGTGCACATTGTAGAATTATATTGGCATTTGGATAGCATCTTATATAATTTGTGACTATTTGTTGTTCTTCCAGGATATTCGGGTAGATCTCTGCGGATGTTACCGATTGATAGATCGATCTATAGTAAGCGCGTGTTATTACTGTGATCAGGCATTGTGTTCCTCTTGCCAGTCTGTGTGCGCCAATTGCTCAGAATTGTTTTGTCAGAATTGCTCTCTACCTGTGTAAGTTATTAGTTATGTATGCCTTTATAAAAGCTTCATATGTGCATAACTGTATGCGTTGTCTCATTTCAGATATAACTGTGACGAACAAATCATGTGCCTTAATTGCTATCGATAACTATCAAAAAGAAAGATATTTTTACGTGAGCTTTTTATGAAAATCGATATTTATTTTATAATATTATTAATGTAAAAAGAAAATTGTTATAATATATTTTAAATATCATTATTATGCAATAAAAATTTACAAAATGAAAAAATAAAGTATAAATCTATGCTAAAAAAAAAGGTTTTTTTATCTTATCCTGTAGGTGTCTTATAAATATTAGATAATGTTTGATTAGTATGTAAAAAATAAATATATTTAATATAAAAATTTTTAAATATAAAAGTAACGAATAACATTGTTGCTCATATTTCTTTTTTATTTAATGAGAGTTGTGATTGTAGCTTAGGATTTCTTATATTTTACAATACATCTAAATAGATTATGATTCTCGCTTCTCTTTCAGTTGTAAATCACAATCAATCGAAGATTTTTAATATGAAATCTTCTGAACTCATTAAAAAATCCTGGCTGAGGTAATATTTTTCGCAGTAAGTTCTTTACCGAATTAATGTAGGGGAGGATTATTTCGTATAGGAATGTTCAAATGTTTCAGCTCCTCATTATATTTATATTATTAGCGTTTCAGATTGATTGTAGTTAATATCCGAATATTTCGGCGCACAGTCACATCTGAGATAATTAAATTAAGAATATATATTGTATTCATAATATCTAACGTTGACCGATCATTGGCGCTGTCTACAGTATGTATGTTATACATTAAAAAATATTTAATTTAATTTAAAAAACTTAGTTGAGAATATAACAAACTTTAAAAAATTTGTTTAATTTTTTCAAAATTTCCTAGTACAGTTTTTATATAAAATAGTTTTGTATTTTATATTTTGTATTTTAACATTAAAAAAAAGTGTATGAATTTCTCACAATGTATAAAACGCATATAAAGTATATAGAGAGTATAGAGACATATATAGAAACTACTTATATTTTATAAAATATATGTAAAATATAATTTTTCTCATTTACTATTTGAGTTAAGTACGTCTGTATATAGTTTCCCAAAAGTGTGAAAACCTCATAATAATTTTTGTAAAAACGAAGATATGAGAAAACGATATTTCAAAAAAATATTTCTAGCTTTTGGCGCGAGTACTGGTCAATGACATAGTACGTAAGAACTATTTTAATTTATTAATACGCAAAGTGAAAAAAAAAGTTTTTTTTTTAAGTTAAATAGGAATTTAGAAATTTCTTCGATTGGCCTTCTCTCAAAGCCACAGGCGAGATTAGATTTTGAAAAAGTCTGTTGCAGTCGCGATTTATTACAAATTTTCAGCGTCACCTTGTTACTGCAATCTTTTCTTCAATTAACGTAAAGGAGAAGAAAACGTGGTCAACTCCATACTTCATACTACCGTATAACCAGTAGGAATATTCAGGGATACTCTGTAAAAAAACGCTGTCCAGTATATTAATATCACAAATTAAATTGATGTGAATTGCAACTGCGACATGTTCTCATGTCTGTACACAGAATTTTAAAGAGAAATAACTTTCCACACTTTTGAGAAACCCTGTATAATGAGATAAGACTATATTGTTCATATTTGTATTAATTACAATGAAAAAAGTTATCAAATCCTGTTATCAAACATTTATAATTAGATAAATCAGTATTATTTATACATCTTAATATATAATGTCTATAAAAATATATTAACTAATTCGTTTGAGCATAAATATCATTCAAATTAATTTGTCAAGTAACAAAGTCTTATACAAATTACTGATATTGCTTTTGAGATGCAGCTTATTTTTGATGTGACAGATGAAAATTATCTTGTGAATATTATAATAGAATTATTAGTTGTGACTTTTTACATTTTTCTCTTAGTTTTATTATAATATTAAAAAAAGAATTATTGACAACATTCGATCAATTTTCTGCAAAATTAACAGAAGGAAAAATCCTTGTTAGATAATACTCTTATAAAATTTATACAGAAGTTATGTCCGCAGAGTTCTTCACGTTTTTACGATAATTTGAAAAATCCACAGCTAAGTCAATTTCATCTGTTTCCTCGCAAAGAAGATGATCTTCCTCGACTTTTGACTTTCCAAATATTCTGTAAATAGATTTTGTGCAATGCGCTAACATTACTTTTAATATTAGCTAATTTTTCATTATCCAAATAGATGTATATGTGATAATGGTATATAGCATAATAACACATTATATTAGTTTTATAAATGCACTTCGATAAATTATGTATTTGTTATTTTTCCCAATGGAGATGTAATGTATTAACAGCATGAATAACATAAAAATCTGCATAAAATGTACTTCTTTTCATGTAAAGTACATTCTATGGAAGTGATTACTGCAAATGTATTAGTCGCAAGTAGGATTAGGTAATGTAATTAAAGATGCACATATGAGTATTTATCCATCGAAAATATTTGTACAGTAGAATAAAATTCATACATTATACTCATACAATTTTTCCGAACATTCCACAGTGTAACCTATTTACATATTTCACTAATTATCTATATAATATTTATTCATGAATTATTTAATCTCATTCATTATTCATCATAAAGAACTATATCTATAACGAAGATAATTTCAATTAGATAATACATTTCTCCGCAGGCGAGAACGTTCTTTTTCTCAGTCTTATATTTTGTTATAAGTAACAAACCAGCATTTCTTGAGAATAAGTGGAACATATGAAAATTTGTAACATATAAATCTTCTAGCAGAAATTATAATTTTAATCAAATCATTATATCCAGTCATTGTATCCAGTCATTATATCCAGTCATCATATCCAGTCATTATATCCAGTCATCATATCCAGTCATTATATCCAGAATAATATAACTCATACATGAAATGACAGCTTGATTTTAGAAAACACATACAGAATGATTCTTAATATTCAATATATATCAATATCAATTTCTTTTCAACTCTCTCAAATCAGAAGTTAGGCAGAAGTTGGATTTTTCATACTTTTGAAAAATTTTAAGAAGTGAAAATTATTAAGAAAATATATTTCGAAAGAAAATTGTAGGAAAACATTGATTGATATTTTGAAATTAAAATCAAAATATGCAATTAAGAATCATCATGTATAAACATTTTATATATAGGGTGGCTGGATTGTACGGCCCATTCGTCTCGAACAGGTAAAGCGGACTAAACTAAATCGAAAAGTCCTGTACTTTTTTGCAATGCTCGCAATAATTAATGAGATATTAATGTCTAACGATAACCGAATCCGCGCGTCCGCCCGACCTACTATTGCCGAAGGTACGGCCTACCGAGCGCACGGCGCGCGAAGAGCGAGGATGACCTAGCAGGCGCGCCGCGCCGTTCGAGCTTAGAGGCTCGCGGCAGTGAGCGGAGCGTTTGCCCTATTCCCGCGCGCATTAAATATAATATCTCATTAATTATTGCGAACATTGCAAAATAGTACAAGACTTTTCGACTTAGTTTGGTCCGCTCTATCTGCTCGGGACGAGTGGGGCTGTTCAATCCAGCCACCCTGTATATTACAAAGTATATTTTACAAGATCTATGTTTATCAAAATATGTACTTAATTAAATTATATAAGTTATTTACAAACAGTATTAAGCATGAAGTTATTGATTAGTTACATATGATTATATTATTCGCAAACAATAATTATAAACACAATATTCAATAAGCAATAAGTAAAGAGAGGGAAGAGCATAAGATGCATTATCAAAAATAATTTTGGCATTTTGTACATGGTTAGTATAAGAAACAAATAATTTCCTCCCAGAGTTAACATCAGTTAGTTGTGCAGAATGTTAAGCAATGGAATTGCTGCCAATGGAGTTTTGTAAACGCAACGTATTCATTTGTCTATACCTGGACAATGTGGATGTCGATCTATTTATTGGTACGACCGAATCATCCAATCCCCGATGAAGTGATATCGTATCCAATTCGATCGTTCGAGCTGTGGAATGGGCTTGCATAGCTGCAGTATATTCGGAAGTTTCCAATGTGGCTTTAGTTGGTTTACGATAACTGCATAGATAATTAACATTAAAATATCCTCTTCATTATGAAATAATATAATTTTTCTCTTTTTTTTTAAACAAAAATAAATAAATATTTTAAAAATTAAAAAGGGATACAATTACTTACAGTTTCAATAATAAGGAACTTCCTACTACTGACACGCTACTTAAAGCCATGGCGGCGGAAGACATCCATGGTTGTAGGAAGAAACCAAAGGAGCTAAATACCCCAGCAGCTATGGGAATGCCCAGAAGATTGTAGACACTAGCGAGTAAGAAATTCAGTCTTATCCTACAGACCGTTTTTCTCGATAGATCTAAACACGCGATTACGTCCAGAAGATCGTTCTGCAAAAAGATTTGACATTATTTTCATGTAACAATTTGTAGGACATATTACTTATTGGTATATGACTTACGCGCATCAAAACCACGTCGGCAGCCTCCACAGCAACATCTGTTCCCGATGCGATAGCAATGCCGACATCTGCTTGAGCTAGAGCCGGACTGTCATTGACACCATCTCCCACCATGGCGACTCTCAGACCCTGATCCTGCAGTCGCTGAATTTTAGCCACCTTGTGAGATGGTAAGACTTCCGCGAAAACTTTGCTGATGCCAACCTATATATTCCCAGGAAATAAAGCCAATGGAAATTAATTTTATCTCAGAAATTAAATCTTATAAGAGGATCTCATCATTTCATACCTGTTTGGCAATCGAAGCCGCGGTTTTCCTGTTATCGCCCGTCAAGAGAATTACCTGCAATCCCATTTTCTTTAAGGTGTAAACGGCAAGATGTGCTTCGGGTTTCACCGTATCGGCGACACTGATCATGGCGACAAGCATATTGTTTATTGAGACTAGGACTGCGGTGTGTCCTATGTCCTCCTCGGTAACCATTTGTCTCTCAACCTCCTCCGGAATATTAATCGCATTCCGGCGCATCCATTCCCGGTTACCGATGCAAACCTCGTACATGTCGTCT